CCCCCCACTCCGCGGCTTCGCAGTCAGGCCGCAGTTGCACATGTCTTTTTCCATCTTTGGAAGTTTCACGTGCGAGCTGCCTCCTGATTGGAGGATACGCCCGGTGAGCTTCCAGGAGCCAATCGGTAGAGACCGGCCTCAGCCTGGATCTACGTGCATTTGGGAGGCACATCCCACCCTGGTCAGTTACCTCTCCATCATGCCTCCCAGATCCTCCGGAGGAGCAGCTGGACTCTTCACCGCCTCCTAATTTGGGCTGTTCCAGGAGGCCGCTGGGGTCAGAGGGCCTAGGCACTTCTGAGCTTAGTCCCTCTTGTTTAGGTGCACCCCTCATGCTTCCAGCTCCCCATCAGCCCTCTCCCCTTCCCAAACATCCCCCTCCATGCCAACCCTTCCCTTTCACAGCCTCTGCCCACCCCCAGTGGCCAGCCCCTGCCCTCCTCTTTATACACACACACACACACACACCCCTGAACTGTCTGAACAGCTCCTCAACTGGCTTCAGAGTGAGAAGACTTGGGATGGGGTGGCATGAACCAACCCCTACTGATGTCGCCCTGCACCTCAGCCTCCACAGGACACAAACTGGCCTCTGCAGTGGTGGCCCAGACCAGAATGGGGTCCTCAGTCCTGCCCCCTCACCAGGGGTGGATGACCGAATAAGCAAGGTAAGCACGGGCTTACTTGTGCTTACTTCCTAATCTGTAGTGAACAATTTCACATGTTTTTCACCATACCACCGCCTTGCTCACTGGGTGATCCTCTCTGTCAGGGACTGTAAATTTGAAAAGAGGCTTTGATTCTGTAGAAAGGTGCTGTGGGGTTGGGAGAGAGACAGATGCCAGCCATATCTAGAAGCAGAATCTTTGCTGTGGTGAAAAAATGTGAAATTGTTCACTACAGATGATCTGGTAAGCAAGGTAAGCACCATGCATACCTTGCCTATTGAATAATCCACCCCTGCTCCTTGCTGTCCCTCTACTCTCACAGCCTGCTAGTCACCAAGTGGCCCCATATCTCAGTCCATAAACATGGAACAGAGCAACTCCCTCCTCTCCATCTCTCTCACGTTGCCCCCCTCCGGGGTCTTCATTGCCCCTCCTCAGCTCAGCCTCCTCACTACATCCACCTCTATCCACCACCCATTTCACTTCCACTTCTGACCACAGCGGCTTCTCATGAGGACGACTTCCAGAGTTCCCGTTGCCCACCCATCTACCCAATGCCTTGGCTCGGCATCCTGGATCCTGTGGGCTGCTGGCTTCTCTCCCACTGCCCTCCTCATTTTCCCTCTGGTGATACTAATCTGACTGTTAGTGTTGGATGGAGAGACGAGAGAGAGGACGGGGGGAGATCAGGCGGCCCCTTCTCCTCCCCACTTAGTTTGGCAAACGCCTTCGTTAAGACTCGGTTATTCCTCTGGGAAGCCTTTCCCGGATGCCCAGGCAGAGTTAGGACACCCCGTCTGTGCTCCCTCCAACTCCTGTCCTCGCCCGCACGGCAGCTCCACGTTTTCATTGTCTGCCCCACGAGGATAGGAGCGCCGGAGAGGGGGATGGGGCCGTGTCCTGGCTCCCAGCAGCTGGGCGCTTACTGAAGAGTTGTTGAATGAATGAATGAACGAATGAATGAACGAGCGAGCAACCAACAGAGAATGGAGCGAACTGGCAGCAGCCAACCTCATCCGGTCCACAGCGGGGCCGGACGAGCTGGGGGAGGGCGTGGCCACGCTTGACGGACAGTCCCGTGGCCCACTGCGAGAGGAGTGCGGCGGGCCGCCCCGCCCCACTGATGGCAGGATAAGGCGGCGCGCAGGGCAGCGGAGGGCGCAGGCTACTGGACCGGCGGCACCTGCGGCAGGTGGCTGGGTGCGGACCGGGAGCGGAACAGAGCGAGGACTGGCACTGCAGGGAAGATGCTGCGCGAGCGGACCGTGCGGCTGCAGTACGGTAGCCGCGTGGAGGCGGTGTACGTGTTGGGCACCTACCTCTGGACCGATGTCTACAGGTGAGCGGGCTTCCGCGCCGGCTGGAGACACCCTGCCCCAACCCCGGGGCTCTGGTCTGAGGTCTCGCCCCTAGAAATCCTAGGAGCCATCACACTGCACCCTGAGACCCTTCCCTGACTCAGGGACGTGGACAGTCTTCCTCTGGCTCGAGCTGCCCTTCATCCCGAGGCCCCCGCTCCCAGAAATCCTAAGAACACCACCTGGAAACTCTGAGAGCCTCCAAGCCTTGTGTCAGCTCCCCGAAATTCTGAGACCACCGCCACACACGCTGACACAGTCTCAGCCCCTGCTCTGTCAAAACCCTTTCCCCAGTCTGCCTTCCTTCACCCTATTCTTTCCACCTCCTGACCGTCTCCCAGGGATACCTCAGTCCCCACGACCCCAGCTTTTCCCACCACCCTTTCCCCTTTCACTTACCCACTTTTCTCTCAGCACGTCCCTTCCTCGCCCTTATGCCCTCCCTTCCCCTCAGTCTCATCACCACCCCAGCCCAGCCTCCCCCTGCCCCCTCCTCCCACTCTCAGCCCAGCTGGAGCTTTGCTGGGGTCCAGGCAGGGCCAGAGGGGAGCTGCCCTGGGGCTGTATGTGGCCCCGGGTGTTGATCAGGCTCCGATTTCGCCCTGTGGGGGCCACTACGGGTGACCTGTCCCCAGGCACTGGCCATGCACCCCTTGTCCTCAAATGCCTTCCTTTGACTTCACTCTGGGCTCAGAGAGGGGTCTTGTTCCATTGGGCTGAGGCCTGGGACTCCAGGTACCAAGATGAGGTCCTGGTCAGAAGAGCAAAGAGCACCCCTGATTCTGGAACCTATTCCCTCCCCCTCTTGTCTCTGTCCACAGACTTGGTGAAAGTGGGGCTTACAGAATTTCTGAGAGAACAGGACATGGGGTGGGGAAATCGAGGTCAGGACCCCACCACTACCTACAGCCCCCAAGACTCAGCCAAGTCCACTGACCTATCTCCCCAGTAGTGTGTGGGGCAGGGCCTGACAAAGGTGAGGCTGGTGTGAATGAATTGGTGGAGAGAGCCCAGGTAGGGTCATACTGAGGTTTTACCTACAGCCTTCTATTCCAAGCATTTGAAATATTTCCCATTGCTGAGGGGAGGGAGCATGCAGGCCTTGGGCAGTTCCCCCACCTCTCTGTGCCTTTAGTTGAGCTCACATGTGGTGCCAACATACTTTATTGCTCGCAAATCATTCTGTCAGCTGGAGGTTGTTGAGAGTGCCCCGGCTCTCCCAGGCCCCCACTGAACCCCATCCCTTTGTCTTCCCCACATACCTTCACCCAGCCCCATTCTTTCTTTCACCTCCTAGGGCCCTGACAACCCTGCCCAGCCAGTCTCCTGAAACCGCCACTGGCCATGCTGATACCATCAAGCCCCAGCCAAATACCTCTCCCACAGCCCAGCCTCCTGGAGGGGAAGAGCCCATTCACCCCGCCTGCTGACCCAGCAGGCCCCTGGGACCTGAGACCCTCTCCATTCATCCGCCCCTGGCCCCAGCCTCAGCCATTCCATGTATAAAGCTCAGGGTGAACTGGGTGGTCTCAGGGGTCATAACACAGCAGTAAAGTGTGGTCCAGGCCCCAGTGGCCTAGAGAAGCGCCCCTCCTTTCTCCACCCGCAGCTGGGAACTGGGAACTGGGAACTGCTGGGGAATGGGCTGGAGCCAGGGCACTCAGGTCTGTAAGCCTCAGCTTCACCATCCCTGCCTCTTTGTTCACTAGGGTACTTTTGGTGCAGCCTGCAAGACTGGCAATGTGCTGGATCCTCCCTCCGATGGGGGTAGGGCCACACTCAGGTCCCCTGCCCTCTCTCTGTCCTGGCACAGAGAGCCCACCCAGGTGGGGGCGGGGGGGGGGAAGGTGTGGGCAGGTGGCAGAGGAGTGATAGTTCCCTTTGTCCTTCCTCAAGACACAGCCACCTCCACCCCCCACCTCCACGTAAGATTCCCACCACCACTAAGAGAGGCAGTGCCGTCTGGACCAGCACTGACCAAAAGAAACCGAATGCAAGCCGCAAATAGTCACATCTGTCATTCTCAATTTTCTAGAAGCCACGTTTTTAAAAAAGTTAAACACGTGAAATTCATTTTAATCATATACTAATTATATAGACTAATAATATGCTAAAAATAATATATTCCTTTTAATACTATAAAATTTAAAAGTATTTTAATAATAATATAAAATTAATTTAATAATATAATATTATTTTAATAATATATTTAACCCAACATATCCAAACATTATCATTTCAATGTATAATCAATATAAAAATTATCCGTGAGATTGGTTACATTCTTCTTTTCGTACTGTCTTTGAAATCTGGTGTGTGACTTATGGCACATCGCAGTGGGGACTAACCACATGTCAGGTGCTCAGTAGGCACGTAGAGCTGGTGGCCCCCGTACTGGACAGTGCAGGGCTATAGCAGGGTTTCTCAACCTTGGCACCACTGACATTTGGGGCAGGATTATTCTTTGTCCTGGGGGCCCATCCTGTGCATTGTAGGATGTTTAGCAACATCTCTGGCCTCTATCCCCTAGAAGCCAGTAGCACCCGCTTAGCTGTGACAACCAAAAATGTCTCCAGACATTGCCAGATATCCCCTATGGGGATGGAGGCACAAAATTGCTTCTAGTTGAGAACCACTGGTCAAGTGCAAGGAAGCCTCTTCTGGAACTAAGGAGATAGGGCTATGACTGCTGTTGTTACTCCTAATATCCGTAATAGTAACAGCTACTGTCAGTGTTAATGATAGCAGGGGATATTAACGAACACTTATGAACCAAAAGCATTATCACATTTCATCCTCACCACAGACCTTGGAGGTCATGCTGGGCACACCCCCATTTTATAGATGAGGAAAGTGAGGCTCAGACAGGTGAAGCTATTTGCCTGATATCACATAGGACTCAGATCCACCACTCTGTCCTGTGTGACCCTAAAATGAGCAGGTTGAACCAAAGGACCCTTTCAGCCTGTATCCCTTCCACCTTTCACCAGCACCACAAGCCCAGTGCCCCTGGAAACTTCCCTGCACCCCCATTCTGCCCTCAATTTCCAACCATGTCCCACTGAGTCCTTCCCAGCCTAGACACACTCAGGACCCCAAATGATGCCCCCAGGACCTCCAGGTAGTCCCAAAGGGACAAAGTCTGGTGGGCCCTGGACCCTGTTAACTAAGGAGTGGTTTCCTGACCCTTCACTCCTTCTGGGTCCCAAACGTCAGTGAACAGTCCTCCACCCCCTACTCTCCCTTCCCAAGGGCTCTGGGCCCCTTTCCCCTTTCAGACACACAGCAGGGCCTCGCCTGCCCCATCCCACGGCAGACCTCATGGTCCTGGCAGGAACTGCCCCATGAGTGTTACCTCCTCTCCCTCTTTCCCTGTGATTATAAGAGGCGCTCAGAGTGAAGGCTGCTCTCAGGGCTTGAGAAGCAGCTGGACAGTGGAAAGAGGCAGAATTCGAGGTAGGCCAGAATAGGTTCCCATCCACTCTTCGTGACCTTGAGCAAATCACTTGACTTTGCTGTGCCTCCACCTCCTCGTCTGGACAGTGGGGATGTGTGAGAGTCAATCAGAGAATAAGAGGAAGGATCGTATGCCTGGTAGAAACTGTGGACATGGTCGTGGTGATGAACACCTGACCACTTTGCTGCCCTGACAAGTGTCATCCAGGCCACCATGGGAAGAGGTATTCTGGGCCACCCACCTCTCCCAGCAAAACTGGCCCCTTTGGGGATGGAAGCCCTGATCCTGGCCACATTCTGCCTGCTACTCTCCAGCAAACTGTGAGTAGAAGCACAAAAAGAAGGAAGTAGGCTTTTTTCTAGAGGTTGTACTTTGTGGTCATTATTAAAGATACTGGATTTTTCCTCCTGCTACCCCCACATATACTTGTCTTTGGTCTGGCATGGCTGTGTCTTGTCCACACAGTCTCCCCTGGTGATCCCTTTAGCTGGTCCCCATGTGATTCTGACTTGAAGAGAGGGCATTGAGTGAGTGGCGTCTGCAGGTTGGTTCCGCCCTCCCCACCCACCTCTTGTGAATGATATTGTCCCTGTTCTGGAACCGTGGGCACCACCGGAGTCTGAGAGGGCGTGGTGGGTGGGTATCTTTGGGATACAGTAGAGGGGTGGCCAAGCTCTGCGAGCTCTCCCACTGACCCACATACTGGGCCTTGGATACAGTCTGTCCTTTCCCTACCTCAGTTTGTGTATCTGTCCAAGGGGATGAGAGTTCCTTGATAAGGCCAGTGTCCCCTTTTCCCCCTTGCTGGAGAGAAAAGGACAGAATTTGTATCCTGACGTTGCAGGAGCTTCAAGGCATAGGGATGATGTTGACAGTTGTCTCTTGTCTCTTTGCCCGGTTTTCATTTGACCTCACGATGAGCCATGAAGTGGGAAGTGGGGTGATCCCCCTGCCCCACTTCCCAGGGATACCCCACGGCAGGGGCCAACCAGCTATTTTCCAGGCAGGTCCTTTCCCATCACTTCCCGGCAGAAAATAGGAAGAAGGTACCAGGGCAGGAGTTCCTAGATATTGGCGCAGTAAAATGCTGGGGAAAGAGAAACAAATATAGATGTGGATCCTTCCTTGGAGAAAAGCCCAGAGAATTTCAGTTCTTCCCCATTTCTGACTCCCTCCCAGACTTTCTCTCTCTGCCCCTTGGTGGAGGAGTGTGCTGGGGGATTTACTTGATTGTTTTTTAAAGTACTCTTAGGACAAAGTTCAGGGGGAGTCCAAGATCCAGTCTGAAGCACTGGGGCCTCAAAGTGCCATGGTCTCCCCTTCCCATAGAGTACCAGGCCCATAGTGTATCAGGCCTCGCCTTGCACACCCCGTCTCCTACCTGGTCTGCTACATGCAGTCCATTCTGCATTTGCGGATGCTGTTAGCCCTTGACCGCACCAAGCTCAGTCCCACCTCAGGGCCTTTGCAGTTGCTGTTCCCTCTGCCTGGAACACTCTCCCCTAGACCACCACATGCCCAACT